ACAACAATACTAAACAGCTACAACAATACTAAACAGCTACAACAATACTAAACAGCTACAACAATACTAAATTACAACAATACTAAACTACAACAATACTAAACAGCTACAACAATACTAAACTACAACAATACTAAACTACAACAATACTAAACTAAACTACAACAATACTAAACTAAACTACAACAATACTAAACTACAACAATACTAAACAGCTACAACAATACTAAACTACAACAATACTAAACTACAACAATACTAAACAGCTACAACAATACTAAACAGCTACAACAATACTAAACAGCTACAACAATACTAAACAGCTACAACAATACTAAACTACAACAATACTAAACAGCTACAACAATACTAAACTACAACAATATTAAACAGCTACAACAATACTAAACTACAACAATACTAAACAGCTACAACAATACTAAACAGCTACAACAATACTAAACTACAACAATACTAAACAGCTACAACAATACTAAACAGCTACAACAATACTAAACAGCTACAACAATACTAAATTACAACAATACTAAACTACAACAACAATAAACTACAATACTAAACTACAACAATACTAAACTACAACAATACTAAACTACAACAATACTAAACAGCTACAACAATACTAAACTACAACAATACTAAACAGCTACAACAATACTAAACTACAACAATACTAAACTACAACAATACTAAACTACAACAATACTAAACAGCTACAACAATACTAAACTACAACAATACTAAACTACAACAATACTAAAACAGCTACAACAATACTAAACTACAACAATACTAAACTACAACAATACTAAACTACAACAATACTAAACAGCTACAACAATACTAAACTACAACAATACTAAACTGCAACAATACTAAACTACAACAATACTAAACTACAACAATACTAAACTGCAACAATACTAAACTACAACAATACTAAACTGCAACAATACTAAACTACAACAATACTAAACTACAACAATACTAAACTACAACAATACTAAACAGCTACAACAATACTAAACTACAACAATACTAAACAGCTACAACAATACTAAACTAAACTACAACAATACTAAACTAAACTACAACAATACTTACCTACAACAATACTAAACTACAACAATACTAAACAGCTACAACAATACTAAACTACAACAATACTAAACTACAACAATACTAAACAGCTACAACAATACTAAACAGCTACAACAATACTAAACAGCTACAACAATACTAAACAGCTACAACAATACTAAACTAAACTACAACAATACTAAACTAAACTACAACAATACTTACCTACAACAATTCTAAACTACAATACTAAAACTACAACAATACTAAACTACAACAATACTAAACTACAACAATACTAAACTACAACAATACTAAACTACAACAATACTAAACTACAACAATACTAAACAGCTACAACAATACTAAACTACAACAATATTAAACAGCTACAACAATACTAAACTACAACAATACTAAACAGCTACAACAATACTAAACAGCTACAACAATACTAAACTACAACAATACTAAACAGCTACAACAATACTAAACTACAACAATACTAAACAGCTACAACAATACTAAACAGCTACAACAATACTAAACTACAACAATACTAAACAGCTACAACAATACTAAACTACAACAATACTAAACAGCTACAACAATACTAAACTACAACAATACTAAACTACAACAATACTAAACCACAACAATACTAAAACTACAATACTAAACAGCTACAACAATACTAAACTACAACAATACTAAACAGCTACAACAATACTAAACTACAACAATACTAAACTACAACAATACTAAACCACAACAATACTAAAACTACAATACTAAACAGCTACAACAATACTAAACTACAACAATACTAAACAGCTACAACAATACTAAACTACAACAATACTAAACAGCTACAACAATACTAAACAGCTACAACAATACTAAACAGCTACAACAATACTAAACTACAACAATACTAAACTACAATACTAAACAGCTACAATACTAAACTACAACAACAATAAACTACAACAATACTAAACTAAAACTCTAAACTGCTAAAATACTAAACTACAACAATACTAAACAGCTACAATACTAAACTACAACAACAATAAACTACAACAATACTGAACTACAACAATACTAAAGTACAACAACAATAAACTACAACAATACTGAACTACAACAACAATAAACTACAACAATACTAAACTACAACAATACTAAACTAAAACTCTAAACTACAACAATACTAAACTAAAACTCTAACCTACAACAATACTAAACTGCTGCAACACTAAACTGCTACATACTAAACTGTAATTTAATATAATTATTGAACTATGTAACTGTAAACTGATCTTATGATTTCATAAATTATCAATTATCATTTTCCAATTTATCAATTATTTTTAATTATTAGGGAATAATTTTGTAATCTCTATATTAACTATTATATTAACTGCATGTCAACACCTTGTACCAGACTTGTCTTAGTCCTGCTCTAAGTTTGCCCACAATGCTCTACATTCTATGGGATTTTAACTTATTTTACTGTACTATATTTACTGGCACATATATTGAACTGGGTGTGAAGCATGGGTTGTGAATGTTACAGCAAGGATGAGGCTGGAGGCAGTGGAGATGTCGTGTCTGAGGGCAATGTGTGGTGTGAACGTTATAGAGAATTTGTAGTGTGGAGATGAGAAAGTGTGGAGTTACTAAAGGTATTATCCAGAAGGGTTAGAAGGGGTTATTGAGGTGGTTTGGACATTTAGAGAGGATGGTGTTATATCTTCAAAATTGGTCATCCTGTGTTATTTAACTATTGTAAGAGAATATGTTCATCACTTAATATTATAGCACGAAAGTCCCCGTTTATAGCTAAAATAGAGACTTTCGACGTTATATTATTATCTGTTAATATATGAAAAATACCATGGTATTATCACTATTTTGTTATTATCACTATTTTGTTATTATTATCACTATTATTTTATTATTATTGTTAGGTAGGATTTCTTGTGTATATAGAGTTTAAGTCTCAGAACCATCTGGTGAATTGTTCAGTTGTTTATGTCCGGCTGGCTGACGTGGCTCAGCTGATCCAACCTGACGACACGTCAACAGACTGGCAAGTAGTCAGTCTGCTCCCTGCTCTAGCCCTGACAACTGATCGTATATTGGCTCTTACAGTGTACAGTTGAATGGTTTTGAGAATTGGACTCTAAAGCTGACTCAGTTTGTTCCTCATTGCTTTGAAAGATTCTTTTGATATTTATATTCTTGGTCAGTTCAGTAATCCATAGAGATACTTTACAGCCAGATTCAAAGGTCTTGTTAAATCTTGTACCTTTTGTATTTTGAGTTTACAGTCTTGTTAAGACAAAGACGTAAATGTTAATGAAGACTTAATTACAGGAAGAATAATTAAACTTCCTTATTAATGTGACATTTCCATGATTTTGAACTAAATGTATATGGTAAATTTATTGCACAAAGTATTAAGTTACATTAACTACAAAGAGAAGATAAAGTATTGTATTTAAATACTTTAATAAATTTGAATATTATTCTATGGAGTTTCCCAGTTGAAATTATTTCCCCTAGACTCTAAAATACCTTTAAATAACTCGGATCCAAAAATCTTGTTGCATAAGAAATAAATGGTAACAGGCCACATTCTGAAGTTCTTTAAAAAGTTTCTTATTCGCAACAATGGAGCAAATAGGATGATTTGTATGAGGGAAGGTGGGGTAGGGGTCGTCCTACTAAAGGTTGAAGGAAGGGGGAAGTAAAGGCGGTATTGTGTGTGAGGAGCTTGGACATCCACAGGCATGTCTGAGCATGTTAGATAAGAATGGAAGGAAATGGTTTTTGGGACTTGATGACCTGTTGGAGCATGAACAAGGTTACATTTTGTGAAGGGATTCAGGGAAAACTGGTTAGCTAGACTGAGTCCTGGAAGTGGGAAGTACAATGCCAGCACTCAGAAGGAGGGGTGGAGATATTTGGCTTGGAGAGACATCTAAACTGTAATATTGGCACACCTCTGTCAAGGCAGTGACAGAGTGAATGATGGTGAAAGTATTTCTTTTTCAGGTCCCCCTTGCTCAGTGGGAGATGGCCAGTGTAATAAAAGAAATTAAACTGAAATCAATTTTAATTATTAATGCAGTTTTCATTATTATTATTCTAACTGGTACTAGCAATGAGGTGTTAATATTATTACCTGACTATAGTGCACCAGCATTGATTCACATGTCTTTCACAAACAAGGAGCAAATAGGGGTATTAAGGAATAAGAAAATATGAATTATGCTTAGAGCACCCCAGTGGACTGGACCAACCCTTCTCAGGCTAGAAGTTCAATCGCTGTTCTCAGGAGAAGAGTTGAATGTATAAATGCCTATACAGTTGCCAGAATCTTCAACTTAAAAAGCAGCTCTCTGGCAAAGAGAACTCTCCTTGGTTCTCAGTCAAGAGACAAGTTCTCTCCACTGACAATGCCTGACTGAGAACCATAGTCAATTCAGCTAAGAAACTAACTACCTACACAACAACTGCTGGATAAAGGAACTGACCTGCCAGCAGTGGAGTGCTGTACACTCCTCCACCACCATGGCAACAGGAACCAGCAGAAACTGCTATATTGTATCCCTCAGTGAGTAAAACCCCTTGCAGACACACACACTACTGCAGCCTGAGCTGAAGGTGCCAACAGTCTAGCATACTGCACTGATAACCTGGTGGATCCAGATAACAAGTGTGTAGCAGCCAGAGTCCATCATGATGAACACTCCAGGGAATGAAGACTTCTTGTCCACTGCTTGCTACAACAAATGGAGTTAGCACAATTAATGCATTACAATAAAACAGAAATAAGACAACAAATTACTGCATCTAACAATTTAGGAATATTGTTAATAAAAACAAAGTAATAATTTTGATTTATTTTCATTAGCCTATGAAGTTATATGTACACAAAAAATATACAACTGTACATATTATACATCATATTTACATTTTACAAAAACGTGTGCATAAGTAAACAGTATCTAGAAGCGACACTTCAATATCGGGTAAACCTGAATATATCCTCATTTACTTTTCAGGACATTTGAGATCATAAAACATTTGGCATAATCAATCGAAAACCAAACATCACAAACCATACATACACGTTGTATGAATATAACAGGATTTTACAAATACTGTACTCTTATATAAATATTTACACCAAGGTATTAATATACAGCACAAGGGTAAAAAAAAAAATCAATAGCCCAGAATAAAATTTCAAGTTAAGTACACAGACTGCTCACAGAATACAGTATTATAATTTAAAAATATAATTTATTATCAGAATTTAACTTGTACACCAAACTTGAGAAGTTACAAAACATGATTACAATGAAAATTGGTATAATTCATCTATAGACACTATTAAGATAAACCATTTCAAAGAACTCAATTACAAAGTCTAAGCAGAAATGTCTCAACAATGTCAATAATTTTAACATATAAACCTCAGTTGAACACACTATTCACAAAAAATGTGCTAAACCTAATATGTATTTATAATACAGCCTCTCCTCACTTAGCGATGTACTCATTTACCAAAGCCTCCGACTTATGACGGGCTCTCTGACCAGTATGCATGCCTAAATAATGTATATTAGAGCTGATTTCCTCTATTCTGTTTATTACAATATACAGTACACTACTTTATAAACATTTAAAAATATACCAGAAATGTTGACACAAACCCACTGCCATTATAGTATGCTCCTCACTTAGCAACGAATTAATTTATCGACATTGTCTTCGGAACAGGACTCTGTTATTAAGTGAGGAGAGGCTGTATTCTCAATCACATTACAAAAAAATGTAAACCAACTGCATTCAAACTGACTGTATGTGCATATTTAGTAATAATATACATGGTGCTCTTACATATATAAGCACATTTCCCACAACTCCGGGGTTATACTTCAAGTAGGGCCCTCGGCCACAGCCTTTATCGAAGTGATCAATTTTTTTACTACTGCACCAGAGATTTTTTATTTTAATTGGCAGTTTCCTTGTATAAATGTATACATTATAATCTTATCCTTCACCAGTTACTTTGATGAAGGAAATAAAAGGTATAGTAAATACATGTGAACAATAAACCAGCTTGGAGAACAGTGAAATCTTAACATCTGTACAATAAATGTTAGGAAAAATATATAAATTTTCTCATATAATGCTCAGTTTGCTACTAATTAAATTTATCGTAAATTTTGAAGGTTCCTTATTTTTAAACAAACATATGTTAATGTAAGGAATAAAGTGTGGTTGACCCCACTTAAGGAACACCTGCACAACGTAATTTCAAATAACCATCGAAGAAACTCCAAATTCCTCTGCTTAACAACCATATCCTAGCTCATATAGACCTTATGCCATGCAGTCATCAAGAAGAAATGAACACACACGAGTAGTATGTGGCCAGTCAGCTACCATGGTGGCTGCTAGCTATTGTGGCAGTCACTAGCTGCTATTGTGGCAGTCACTAGCTACCATAGTGGCTGCTAGCTATTGTGGCAGTCACTAGTTACCATGGTGGCTGCTAGCTATTGTGGCAGTCACTAGCTACCATGGTGGCTGCTTGCTAGCATGGTGGCATTATTTACCATGGTGGCCACTAGCTACCATGAAGGCCACTAGCTACCATGGTGGCCACTAGCTACCATGGTGACTGCTAGTTACCATGGTGGCCTACTTACCAAGAATAGCAGACTCTTTTCAGCAGTTATTGTTTGGACTCTTTAGAATTCACGAGAAACCACGTGAAAGGCATAAGACTGTGTGTGTCATTGTTTGTCTGACCTAGACTAAAGTACTACACAACCATCCCACCCTCTTATCTAACTCCCTCCCACCGAACCCTCCCACCATCCCTCCCACCATCCCTCCCTCCATCCCTCTCTCCACCAATGTACTGATGCTGGCTTCAAGGAATACCACTGTACTGTACATATGTCCAACAATGGACCCAACTATGGTAAGTACATTTTTTTTTAATTTCATCATTAAAAAGGTAATATGAATTAGATACAGCTTATTATTGTCCCAGTCTGCATCTCCAATTATAACATGGGTCTCTATGGGAGAAATATTATTGGCAAAATATATTTTTCACAAACATTTTGTCTGGTTCCTATCTAGTTTATTAAGCAAGGGTTGACTGTACTCAGAATGAACCTAATAATGTTTTGCATCTGAAATGCATTTCCAGAAACCTTAAATTTTTGTCCTGAAAACTTAAGAGCTAATTTGATTACAGAGAAATGATTGAAATCAAAGACACATAATTTTCACTGGTGATTTATACAGAAAACAAAATTAATACCCCAACTGCTTACTGCAGCATATATCAGTAACACAAGTTGTAGGACACACACTTGCTTATATGTTTTACCTGGCAGGTAAACTTTAACTGGATGTCTACTTATTTGAATGTAACCGTAACTCAAGTTTAGTAGACAATATAATTTCTTGTACAGTTTCTATGGTGCTGTTCATGACATACTTACAAGAGCAGCATTGAATTTCATTTAATGATTTCTGTACATTCTTTTCAAATTAGCTGCCACTAGTTATATCGACCAGACTCGCCAACTATGTACACCAGAGCCACCAGCGTCTCTCTCTCTCATTTACTTACTTACGGCAAGGCTTAAAAAGTGTTTAATGCTGAAACAAGTTCAACAACTTCAAGTGCACCTGTCTTCCAGCTTACACAGGTATTGCATTATAGTTACAAGTTCTGGTTCACTCTACAACTAGTGTTTGCTCTGGCTACGTTGCTTACATCTGGCAATCATTACAACAATTCCTGCTAGACATTCTCCAAAATCTCATGCAATAGGTAACAGTCTGACACACTACAACCATCCATGAAGGTAATACTGTATCATATGAGTAGCCAGACTTGAGTCCTGAAGGTGGGAAGTACAGTGCCAGCACTCTGAAGGAGGGGTGGGGATATTTGCAGTTTTTAAGTGCATAATCGGCATGCCTATTGCAAGACAGTGATGGTGTGAGAGATGGTAACTGTGTTTCTTCTTTTCTGGATCATTTTACCTTGGTGGAAAATGACCAGTGTGCATAAAAATAAAAATTAAGTGCAACACATGCATGTTAAACGCAGTGCACTCAGGCAAGATTGTTGGACTTTTCCCTTTCGTCTTGTGTATACACAAGAATGCAAAAACAATATTATCACTGCATTCATGGAAAACTGTTACATATGTATGGGTCATACAGTGACTGTAGAATGAGAGAGAATTAGATTTAGTCTAAGGAAAGGAAGGTAGCTTCAATTCCTTGTATCAAAATCCTTCAAGATCCTCACTACATGAGACAGCAGTCCGGAGGAAATTCCAGTATTCCAAAACGTATGGAAAGGCAGCAACATTCTATTGTCTTTCACACTTACAGTCAGTCACTAATTTTTAATGAAACAATAGAAATGCCAAACCCATGAGAGGTAGAAAGTGATATGCTGTATTTTGAATTAATTACAAATACTACAGCAGAGTCCAGGTGGCTCCTGCAAGTGAAGGGCAACAAGTGAATGACACAAGTTTTGTAGTGAAGAGAGCAGGTTTACTCAATCACCATTATCTACCATAAATTATCTGAACAAAATTTTTGCCACTGATACAGGATTACAACCAACAAAGGAAAAAACTTTTAAATTTCCAAACGTAGATCTATGTTTGCACTGCTAGCACTCCGAACATAGATCTACGTTTGCACAGCTAGCGCTCCGAACGTAGATCAATGTTTGCACAGCTAGCGCTCCGAACATAGATCTAAGTTTCATTTTACAGGCTTTCAAATATAAAAAAAAAAGTAGATTTACGTTCGGAGCGCCAGCGGTGCAAACATAGATCTATGTTTTGACAGTTTAAGGGTTAAATACAAATGCCTCCCTCCAACTGCCTAATCTTCCCTACCTCCCTCCATCTGCCTAATCTTCCCTACCTCCCTCCATCTGCCTAATCTTATCTACCTTCCTCCATCTGCCTAATCTTTCCTGCCTTCCTCCATCTTGATGAGTGGCTGTGAGGGGTTGTGGTAGAGTTAGTGTAGCACAGTGAAGAGCAGAGGTGATTGTGAAGAATAGTGTAGGAAGGTGCCATATACTAGTGGAGACAGAAGAGAGGTAACAAGTTATTTGTTTATAAATGATACATGTGAGGGGGTGACGGTGTGCTTGTGATGAATTAAAAAAAATCATTACACAAATTCCCTTAAGATAGGGAATGTTCTGGATAATTTATTTAATTAAAAAATTACTTTCAATCATTTTTATCTACTAATATTTTGCAATTAGAGAAATGTTTAGGAGTCATTTCAGTACAATGGAGCAAAAACAAGAGGAAAAAACTCTAAAACTTAGTGTTTGAGAAAGTAATGTTGTACTCGTTTCCTAGGATCAGATTTTTAAACTAAGGGTAAGGGAGGCTGTTAATTTTGTTAATGTCTCAAAATAGTCTTTTTTTTTTCAAGTTTTATGTTATTGCTTTAAGGAAAATGTTATGAACTGTATAAAGTCAGTCTATGAAAATACTGTTTATATAAAGTGTATTAAGAAATAATGAGTTTGGTTAAATATAATTTGGTCTACAGCATAAACTCCCACAGATAAAGGTACTCAAATATTGTAGCAACACCATGTACAGTATATTAAGAGTGCTTTTCAACATTGTAAATAATTTAATCCTTTCAAATAATTTTTTTTTAAAAAACTGGTCAAAAAAAACTGAACAACTGTAAATTGAGACAAAACTGAGGACACATCAGCTGGGAAGAGAAAAAATTATCAGCATATTTGGTTCAGACTTATATATTTGTTCCTGCTCCATTTATGTGGGAAGACAACTTTCCTTTCAATTATGGCACCAGGCAGTTATACTGCCCAATTACAACATAAAATGCATTTTTATAAAGTTTATCTGAATTGGGATATCAGCACACTTCTGGCAAGACAGTGACTGGATGAATGATGGTGAATGTGTTTCCTTGTTTGAGTCCCCTGCCTTGGTAGATGACCAGTGAGGTAAAATTAATAGTATTAAAGTCAATTTTAAATGTCATTTGCATCAAAATGTGGGAATACTGTATGTGAAAAGAATTTCCCTGACTCCATGGGTGAGTGGAACAGAATTCTTCCTCCGTAAGCCATGAGTGTTGTAAGAGGTGACTAAAATGCTGGAAGCAAGAAGCTAGTAACCCCTTCTCCTGTATACATTACTAAAGTTATGAAGAGAAACTTGTTTTTCTTTTTGGGCTGCCCTGTCTCGGTGGGATAAGGCTGGTTTGTTGAAAGAAGAATTTCCCTGACAAGATTATCAAGAATAAAAGATTGTGAATATAGCCAAGAGGATTAGAATAAGTTCCAAGATGTTTACATTGTAGACTCGTAACCTAAACATACATTTACAAATTTCTTTCTTCTTTCAACACACCGGCCATATCCCACCGAGGCGGGGTGGCCCAAAAGTAAAAACGAAAGTTTCTCCTTTTACATTTAGTAATATATATACAGGAGAAAGGGTTACTAGCCCCTTGCTCCCGGCATTTTAGTCGCCTCTTACAACACGCATGGCTTACGGAGGAAGAATTCTGTTCCAATTCCCCATGGAGGTAAGGGGAAATAAACAAGAGCAAGAACTAGAAAGAAAATAGAAGAAAACCAGGAGGGGTGTGGATATATATGCTTGTACATGTATGTGTAGTGTGACCTAAGTGTAAGTAGAAGTAGCAAGACATACCTGAAATCTTGCATGTGTATAAGACAGAAAAAAAAAGACACCAGCAATCCTACCATCGTGTAAAACAATCACAGGCTTCCGTTTTACACTCACGAGGCAGGATGGTAGTACCTCCCTGGGTGGTTGCTGTCTACCAACCTACTACCTATAATTTACAAACTTATCACATTGAATAATTATTTATTTGATAATTATTTAAGCCAACCATTACAATCTTTTGTATCATAATAGCAATGACCATCAAAATCTCAAATATTTACTGGATATACTCTAATCTTCCCAGAAAAATGTACACATTTATCCTAAGAACACAAGCACAATAATTTTGATTATCTCTACTCAGTAAGTTTAAAACTGCTGGACTTACACTATTCATAATGTGTATATTCTTGGTTAAGTATCTTTGTTAAGTATGGGTGGTATATCTTCAGCTTAAATTAAATCATTGTGCATCTAGCATACTAATGTGAATGATAATTACAATGAACAATGAAACATTTACTCTTACAACAATGAAAATCAAAGCAACAACCAACTACTACTAACATTCTTCAATAACTCTCAGATTATTCAAGACAAATGAGCAGTTTTAAGTATAAACAGTATGTGCTTTAATTACACACTAAAATAATCTTAGTCTATCTAGTGAAGAATTTGGCTTCAAATGTTGATGCAACAAGGTAAAGCATCTTTAAGGCTTAAGTCTGGCAGGAATTATTAACTGTGGCAATAAACGTGATTACTGCATCATCTCCCATTAAAATTTTGCCAATATTTTGCCTATATGAGCTTGATTAAAATCAAACATGCTTAAAAATATCTATAAATAATTAAGTGTATTTAGTACAAAATACTTGTCTTGTATAGTAGGCAGTGACAAGAACGGCAGTGGCTGCTGAATACTAAGTTATTTAACAATTACAACTACACTAAACAAACACTGTCCTAATTATTAAAGGCATTTGGTTATCTTCTGTGAAATAATAAAATATTTGTGCAACATGATCACAAATTAAAATTTATAAGATATGCAGGTGAGCAAATGTTAGATAAAAAATACAAGACTGTATTTAAAGTACACAAAAATCTTTGGAAGATCACAGACAAAGACCCAAATTTGTAAATCTTGAATTAATAACAGATTAGAGACTGCAGCCACTTCAAAATGCAGTACTGTGATGAAAGAGGTAAAAAGTAAACTGCAAATCTCTAGTTATTATGCAAGTTTTGTTTAAAATCTGGGCCAAGGACACGAGTTAAGCTATTACCTAAGAGAAGTGTTTCACAGCAGACAGCTTACTTGATTCACTGATGTTCTTCCTTATCTTGTCATATAACTGTTTCAGAATTTACACCAAACATATATGGTGGTGGTCGCTCCCTCTCAGCCTTTAAAGTGCCACTACTGCTGTACACAGAACTACGGACAGACCCTATAGTGCTTGTTGGCCCTACAGGAATATGAGTGTTTGTATGACCATTAGTGTGCATCATTGACCGTCGTTGATGAGTTCCACCCATCATACCTGCAGTGATGGCCTGGATAGGTGCTCGGCCAAAGGGGTTTGGGTTAATCGATGGCCGCTGGCCATGGTAGTTAGAATATGAAGAATGAACAGAGGGAGGTCGCTCTATAGGGTCATGCCCAGGGGGAGAGCTATTCATAGAATATGTTGAGTTAGGTCTGGAGTGGACATACATGGGATTAGTGTGTCCTTGTCGACTTCCATTTGGAGGTCTATTTCCGCTGGTAGGATGGTAAGAGTCAGTACTAGTTGATGACTCATTTGCCTTTTCCATAAGTCTGTTGACAGGATTAAGGTATTGATGTCTTCTGGATCGTTGTGATGACCGTCCCTGAGTACTACGAGTCTGTGAACGACCAGAAGCTCGGTGCCGACTCTGACGCTTCACTCGCCGAGGTGTCATGGGCTGTTGGTAGGGGCTATCAAGACCTAAATCTGGAGACTCGCTACCCTCGCGTTGAGGGCTGCAAAGATAAAATTAAATAATCCTTTCAGGTTAAGCTCCAAGTGTTTATCATATACTAAAGCATAAAAATAAATCATCAGAAAACACAAAAATGAAGACATTTTCTTTGTTTTTATGTATGGTAAATTTAATCAAAGATACAATTAAAAAAAGCACACATTCTAGATAGAAAGGAATGTCAAAAGTAGTACTTTATAAAAATCAATTTAACAGTAAAAATATATACAGGAAAAACTGCTACTTAGCATATATTTTTTAGCATAACTATTAACATGGCAAAAGTGTATAAATAAAACAGGATAAATATATGTATAAATCTGGGGTTGGAAGGAGAGGTGAAGGTTTTAAGTGGAAGAGGCTTGATCATTTAGCAAATGTGTGTGAGCATGGTAGATTCAGGTGGAGATGAGATTTTTTAATGTTTAATATGCTGTTGAAATACAATCAACATCAATAATAATAATAATGATAATTTATAATAATAATAAACACTAATAATAATAAATAATCGTCCTGACCAAGTGAGTGTAAAATGGAAGCCTGTACTTGATTTACATGATGGTAGGATTGCTGGTGTCTTTTCTCTGTCTCATAAACATGCAAGATTTCAGCTACGTCTTGGTACTTCTACTTACACTTAGGTCACAAGCATATATATACACACCCCTCTGGGTTTTCTTCTGTTTCTTACTAGTTCTTGCTCTTGTTTATTTCCTCTTATCTCCATGGGAAAGTGGAACAGAATTCTCCCTCCATAAGCCGTATGTGTTGTACGAGGCTACTAAAATGTCGGGAGCAAGGGGCTAGTACCCTTCTGTATAAATTACTAAATTTAAAAAGAGAAACTTTTGTTTTTCTTTTTGGGCCACCCTGCTTTGGTGGGATACGGCCGGTTTGTTGAAAGAAGAAGAATCAATAATAATAATAATAGATTGACTTGGAGGGTGTATAAATCTGTAGTGGAGGGAGGAGGGGTAGGGGTCATCCTAGGAAAGGATGGAGGGAGGGGGGGTAACAGAGGGTTGTGTGGAAGGGGCTTGGACATGCTGCAGGTATGTGTGAGTGTGTTTGATAGAAGTGAATGGAGACGAATGGTTTTTGGAACTTGAGCTGTTGGAGTGTGAGCAGTGTAATATTTTGTGAAGGGATTCAGGGAAACTGGTTAGCTGGTCTTGAATCCTGGAGGTGGGAAGTACAATGCTTGTGTTGCAAAGGAAGGGTTTGGAATATTTGCTGTTTGGAGTAACATCTGAACTGTCGTATCTGTACACCTCTGCAAAGAGGATGATTATGTATGAATGATGGTGAAATTGTTTCTTTTTCTTTGGGTCACTCTACCTCAGTGAGAGATGGCCAGTGTGTTAATGAAAAAAAATAATAATTTGGGATGGACTCAAGTCCTAACATGGGCAGTACAGTGCCTGCACTTTGAAGAATGGGTGAGCATATTGCTGTTCAAACGGCAATCCAAATTACAGTGGATGACCATAACTCACACAGTTTACAGTCCTGAAAACTACACTACTAATCATTTGTGCGACTTATGAACTAAAAAACATATGGGAAAAATGGGGCTGTATTCTTCAGACCTTTGAGAGAGCTGCAACATTATTTTTAATATAAAATAATAGTTTTTCTTACTTAACATTGTCGATGATGATACTGTGAAATGCCTGAACTTTAGTGAGGTTCAGACAGTTAAAATAAAGTACATTAGCTAAAAAAACGGTTACATTAAATAACAAAAAGGCACAATACCATGACTGGGTCAATACACAAAGAACCTGCATGTAAGAGAGAGAAGTTTACAATGATGTTTTGGTTTGACTTGGATCATTTACAAGTTATTGACTTTGTAAATGGTCCAAGTCAAACCAAACACATCATAAGCTTCTCTTTCCTATGTGCAGGTTATATGTGTATGGTTACATTAATACTTTACATTATATTGTTACTACCTTCAAGTGGAGGTGAAGATGCTTAACATGTTGAAGTGAGTGAAGAGGCTGGCTGTAAACCTATTCTTCATTCTTATCACTGTGTCACACTGAGGATTACTCACTGCATTGCCTCATTGTTTCGAATTGACTGAATCGTTGATTCTCTAACACCAAACACTCGTGCTGTCACCATGATATATGCACAGCTCTTCATCTCAATTACCTCCAATTTTTTTATAACAGGCCTAGTTTCCCTGCTTAATCATCTTCCTTGTTTCACCAGCATCACCTACACTTTGGAAGCCATGATAAATATCCCGACGAGATGAGGAAAATCTAAGCAATATGCATAAAGTTAAAATCATAGAGTATATGTCGTCCAAATACACCGACCTGCAGGAGAGGCTGGTTTGTTTACATCCCATCACCCTCCCCCACACACTCCCTATCACCTACCCCCATGCCTTCCCCACATGCTCCTCATCCCCTCTCCCACACCCTCCTCATCACCCACCCTCATGCCTTCCCCACACCCTCCCCAACGCCTTCCCCATACCCTCCCGATCACCCTCCCCCAAGCCCACACACTTTCGCACAGTACTAAGACTGCGGAGTTGCCTAATGCATATTGGGGAGGTATCAAGCCTGTCTGCCATGGTGCTTATTAACAGAGAAGTGCATCACCAATAAAAACAAATTCTGCTCCCATGTTTCTTAGTGGAAATGGCTGTGCTTCTATCAAAAATGAAAAACCCAAATTTCAATTCCTTAATATTGAAAATGTGAGCTATGATCATGCAACTTAAGATTTTCCATTGTATATGGCTGCACACCTCTGGAAAGACAGCTATAGAATGACTGATGATAAATGTATTTCCTTGTTTTAGGGGGATATGTCACCATGCCTTGGTAAGAGACTGCCAATGTGGTTATAAAAGAAATTGTATAATATTTAAGTGTGTGTTGTAAGAGGCGACCAAAATGCTGGGAGCAAGGGGCTAGTAACCCCTTCTCCTGTACAAATTACTCAATTAAAAAGAAAAACTTTCGTTTTTCTTTTTGAGCCACCCTGCCTTGGTTGAAGAAAAAAAATTAAATTATGAACACTATAATTCTGACGAACAGAATAAATGCACGTGTGCATAAGAATGTAGGAAAACTAAAATACAGTACAGGTGGGGGCCCCCGTTTATACAGCAGGTTAGGTTCCGGCTACTGCTGTAAAGTGAAACGTGGCCTTTTTTTCACTTTCAAATGCATATAAAAGCCTGATAACATGTTTACACTATCATATATTAAGTGAGAAATAGTGCAATACCTAAAAAATGCATATACAGTACACACATTACTTACCTTAAAATATTTTTGTCCTTAGCTTATAGAGAGTGGTGAACATATTTATTGTTGGAAGTCTAATAAATGAAGAATTGGCATAACTGAAAACCACTGCATTAGTGAAGTGCTGTAAAGCAAAGTACTGTAAAGCAGGGCCTGCCTGTATTTTGATTTGTAAGACAAAATGAGGGGATACTCCACTGCAATAATTTCTTTGAATTTCTTCATCACCTTGTGCATGCGTGCGTACCTACACAGTAGGTTCTTCAGTCAAATACAGAGGAGGGAGCAGAAGCAGTAGAGATGTGAAGACAATGTAATCAGTCCATCACCCTTGAAGATGTAGTTTTGAGGTGGTCAGTCCCTCAGCCTGGAGAAAAGTTCTGCTTCACAGTCTGGAACAATGTTCCAGACTATGGAGCATCTCTACTGCTTCTGCTGCCTCTGTATTTGACTGAAGAAGCTGACTGTGTAGGTGAAACATTTCAGAATAAAGATACCTAGCTGTGGCATATGTGTTTCTTAGTAACTTTTCAGTATTGTATACCATTATCAGATCCTTGGTTAAAATGTTTAAAGTAAGTATGGCTCGAATATTTGAATGGTTTGTCCATTTGTTGAACAACATTTTTATATTAGGGAAGAGAGGGAACTGCAGCTAAAAATTTATGGAGAGCAAGTATGATTCTTTTGTATGAAGGAAAAAGTGATAATAGAAGGAGCAAAAATTATAAGTATACAAATTGACTGAATATACATAGATGAGTAATGGATGCAGATATACTGCCAGCAGTGGTGAAGAAAATACAGGTTGTAGAAGAAGCTTTATTGGCCAATGTCTCACTATTTGTACAGTGCTCGTCACGGCATTATGTCAGGCGAGCGCCCCGGCATAATGCCGTAACAAAAATCAAAGACCTAACCATACAGGGGGGTCTTTTTTCGTCAGTGCATTATGCCGGGTAGCAACTGTTAGTATGACGTCACACTCCACAGTGACTCCTCAGTGCTCACGTGGCTGCTGTGGTGAGAGGAATTGTTGCACTTTTGTCTCTCATCCACCCCATCTTTTGTCCAGTGTTCCCTTTGGTTTTGGGGTTATACATGTTTGATTATGGGTAAAAGGAAGTCTTTAACACCTGAAAACTATAGCTCAAATCATAATACTTCACAGAGCCAGGCACCAGATGAAAAAAATGGTGGAGAATGTTGGTGTGTAAGCGTTCAGTTAGGAACTGGGTGCAGTGTTTCAAGACTGGTGGCGGTGCCAAGGTACCATCTGCCAAACCTCAGCCTGACCCCTCGGAAAAGACATCTGTTCGTACCTTAATTGTGTTAAAGAAGCAGTTAGAGAGTACACCTAAAATAACTGCTATAGAATTGAAAGAAAACAACCCACAACTTCTCTCAGAGGTGTCTGTAAGAAATGTCAGCAGACGTGTGTCAGAACTGGGCTACAGTAGTCACCGCCAGGTTAAGAAACCGATCCTCTCCAAGCCACAGAAGAAACATAGGCTGGATTATGCAAAGAAATATCTTCACTGGAATCCTCAACAGTGGTCTGAAGCATTTTGGAGTGATGAAGCAACCTTCACCGTCATCTGTAACCATGAGGGACGATGTGTATCCAGCCCAGAGGTAGTGACCCGCTAGACCCATGCTACACCTGTGGGACCACCAAACACCCAAACCTGCTCACGGTTTGGGGGTGTTTCAGTACCCA